CCTGACTCTCCTCTTGATACCCCTTACCTTCTCCCCCCTTTTACCCCACCCTGTCTCCCCTCACTAGTTCCTTCACATATCTCGTGAACACCTCGACTCCACTTATTATTGTCTTGTTATCGACCACGAGCGCCCCGAGGACTTGCTTCCAATGGACAAACCCGACCAAGACCCCCCTTCGGATCCTCACATCGCTCTCCTTTTTGAATTCAAGGACGTCTTCCTCGAGTCCTTGCCCCCCGGTTTACCTCGCGATCGAGGTGTATCCCACACCATTGATCTCGAGCCCGACCATTCTCCTCCTTGCCGCCCTCCGTACCAACTCTTCGTCCCCGAGGTCGAAGAAATGAAGCGCCAGCTCAATGAACTCCTTGAAAAAGGATTCATTAAGCCTAGCTCCTCCCCCTTCGGAACCAGTTGTCTCTCCGTCAAGAAGAACGGCACCTCGAAACTCCGCATTTGCACAGACTACCGTGCCTTTAACCGGATCACGATCAAGAACAAGTACCCACTCTCGCGGATATCTGAACTTCTTCATCGCCTTCGTGGAGCCAAATATTTCACCAAGATCGACCTCCGCAGTGGCTTCCACCAGATTTGTATGCGCGAGGAGGACACCCACAAGACCGCATTCCGCTCTCGGTTCAAGTTCCTCGTAATGCCTTTCGGACTCACCAATGCCCCCGCCATATCCAGTCCACCATGAACCACATCTTCCATGACCTCCTCGAAGTCTGTGTCGTCGTGTACCTTGATGACATCCTCATCTTTAGCCCCACCTTCGAGTCCCACCTTCAGCACATTCGCCAAGTCGTCTCGATCCTCCGGGAGCAAAAATTCTACGCCAAGCTCAACAAATGTACGATTGCCGCTTCGAGCGTTGAATACCTTGGCCACATTGTCTTCGCTGAAGGCATCCGTATGGACCCCTCGAAGGTCACAACCCTCGTCGAGTATCCCCCGCCCAACCGTTCCTTCCTCGACCTTGCCAACTATTACCACCCAACTTTTTCGTGATCTCTTACCCTCTCCACGAACTCACACACAAGGACGAGCCCTTCAATTGGAACGATGGCCGCCAACACACTTTCGACTTCCGCGAGCAAACCATCACCACGGCCCCTATCCTCAAGATCGCCGACCCCACACGCAAGGACGAGCCCTTCAATTGGAACGATCGCCGCCAACACGCTTTCGACTTCCCCGAGCAAACCATCACCACGACCCCTGTCCGTAAGATCGCCGACCCCACTCGCATTTCTATGTCACCACTGATGCCTTCGACTTCGCCATTGGAGCCGTACTGTCCCAACATGTCCCTCGCGACACCGTTGAGACCCCCTCCATCAAGGTCTCGCCCACTCACCTCGAGGCTCCACCCAGCGAATACCCATCGCCTTCGCAAGCAAGACGCTCCTTCCCACGGAGATGAATTACCCCTCCAACGAGAAGGAACTCGTCGTGATTCACGCCCTCACAGTCTGGCGCCCGTACCTCGACGGGCAATACTTCACCATCCGCACTGACAACACCATCGTTTCTTCCATCCTCACCAAGAAAGACATCACCCCACGCCAAGCTCGATGGCTCGACTTCCTTGGCCAGTTCACATTCACCATTTGTCATACCCCCGCCAAAAGCAACCGCGTTGCTGAAGCCCTCTCTCGATGACCCGATTGCAAGCCCCCCGAGAAAGTCTACGCCGCCATGACCCATATCCAGCTCCTCCCATCACTTCGTCACCGATACACTCAAGGCTACCTCTCTTGCGCAGACTTCGTCGCCATTTACAAAAAGCGTCGTGATCTTGACCCTGTCCTCGACTACTCCCTCAACGACAACCTCCTCTACATCGACACCAAAGGCACTCGCCGACTGTGCATCCCCGACACATGTGGTCTCTATACGCAGCTCTTGGCCGAGGACCAGGACGCCAAGACTGCAGGTGACCTCGGTTTCCAGGAAACTTTTGACACCATCTCCCGCTACTTCTATTGACATTCTCTACTCGCCGACGTCAAAACATACATTCGCTCATGTCCCATGTGTCAGGTTGTCAACCCCTCGAACCGGGCAAAACCCGGCAAGCTCCAATCATTGCCCATCCCCACTCACCGGTGGCAGTCCATTTCCATGGACTTTGTGTGCGGTCTCCCTAAGACCGACCGCGGGCATGATTGCATCTACGTCATTGTCTGTTGCCTGACCAAACACGCCCACTTCATTCCTAGCTCCACCTAGCACACCGCCAAAGACAATCGCCTTACTCTTCTTCGACCATTCTGCACGTTACCACGGCCTCCCCGAGAATATCATCAGCGACCGCGATCCCCGTTTCCGCTCACAGTTCTGGAAACAACTCTTCAACGCCTACGGAAATACTCAAGTATAGCACTGCATTCCACCCACAGACCGATGGACAAACCGAGAGAAGATGAACGATACTCTCCAAGGAATCCTACGGAAGTATTGTCATCCACATCAACACGACTGGGATCAGTTGCTCACCGCCGCCGAGATCGCCTAGAACAACGTTGTCTGTCCCAATGTCTCCATTCTACCTTGACCTTGGCTACCATTCGTGTGTGCCCTCTGATGTTCGGCTTCCCTCGCAACTGAACCCTTCCACACCTTGCCCTTCCCTCAATGAATGGGTAGCTCACCGTCGTCGAGATCGCCTACAACAACGTTGTTTGTCCTTCCACTGGTTTCTCTATTCTACCTTGACCTTGGCTACCATTCGAGCGTGCCCTCTGATTTCCGGCTTCCCTCGGAACTCAACCCTTCCACACGTTGCCCTTCCCTCAATGAATGGGTAGCAACAATGAATCGACTCCTCAGAGAAGCAACTGAAGCCCTCGAAGGAACACAAGAACAACAAGCAAACAAGATCAACAAACACAGACAAGACTTGCAATTCAAAGTAGGGGACAAAGTCTGGCTGTCTGCAAAATGCTTTGAACCCGAACATGGGTTGTCAAAAAAACTCTCGAACAAATGTCTCGGACCCTTCCCCGTCATTGAAAAAACCTCCGACGTCAACTACAAACTCCAACTCCCCCCCGACATGAGCCGCGTCGATGCGGTCTTCCACGTCGAATACTTGAAAGAATATCATGAATCCCCACCCCAATTCGCTGACCGCCCGTATCCTAGACCTCCACCTAGCATGTTACCCACAAGCCCTGAATTTGTTGTTGAAGCAATCATAGGTCGACGAACTACTCAGGTATCTGACCACCCGGAACCAATCACTGAATACAAAGTCAAATGGACTGGATAACCCGACGAGAAATCTACATGGGAACCTCTCTCGAATCTCAAGAATGCCATGAAACTTGTCCGCGCCTATGATCGTGCTACTCCTATGTCCTAGACACCCACGTAACCACAACCCTAAACCCTTGTATAAACCTTGCTACAACCTCGCAACCCCGTTGAACCCAGTCCACCCTCCCCTCGACCCCGATTTCTGATGTCTGATCTGTGCTTGCCCTTGCCTAGCCTTGTCCCATCTGTCCTCTCCACTACCTTGTCTCTCTTGTCCAATGCTTATGAACCTGTGTGACGCCGGCGATAAAGGACTAATGGCAAGCGCACGAGGACGATGGCCTGCTGCCTCACTGTTCCCTGGTCTATCTTTTTGCTGTTTCTGCCGCATCCCGTTTTCGGCCTGGCATCCGTTTTTCCAAACCCCTCCTTTGGTACTGTCGGATTTTGGACAACTGGCGCCATGCTGCAATTCGGGCGCCACTTTCAAATACCGCATTTTACAGTTCTGCCCTTGGGGCTTTTGCGGAAGTGCCCCTGGTACCGGACGTGTCACCGGTACTTATACCGGCTCCCCGTACAGTATGGGAATCAGTCTCGTACCAGTTTTCATCTGCTGTCCTTGTACTCAGTGTGACTTGCTGTCTGGGCATTCGGAATCCAAGACTTCGACTTTGTGCCCTTGCCATTGTGTCTGCGTCCGACCCTCAGTCGTGTCGAGTGAGTGAGTGTGTGTGTGTGCTCTCACTCTCTCCCTCTCTCTCTCCTCCCCCTCGCCTCTCCCTCAGCCTCGCGCTCGTCACCCATGGGGCGCAGCTATGAGGCCCAGGTAAGTACCTCCGACGTAGGTATGGCCTCCGCCCCTCTGCCTACCTACGCCTCTACCTTTACCTCCTAGCGTAGCGCTGTAGCGTTGCAGTGCTGCTCCAGCAGCGTGTTGCTCCAGAAGTGAGCTACGTGAACTGTGTGTGAGCCCTGGCCTGGCCCAGCTATGTATAGCGCTGGGCCTCGCCGGTGCGATCTCGCTTCGGCCTGAAAACGGCCCACATGGTTTGGGTCGTCCTGGTGTACCCAGCCCAAGGCGCGGCCTGTGGGACTGCAAGTCTGAAATGATGTCTGAGCAGACAAAAATTGGACAGCAAACAAATAAATAAATAAATGCTGCCTGGAATCGAAACCTCCGGCCTAAGGGCCGCCGTGGGCCTCCAGGGTGCACGTCTGAAGTGTGCACGGCCTGGGGGGCCCCTCAGCAACCGCCTGGCCCTCGAAATGGGCCCCGTTTGCAGGCTCAGCATGTAATACACACACACACACACACACACACAGAGAGAGAGAGAGAGAGATGAACATCGATCTGGCGTCAGCCTCGGTTGCTTCTGTATGAGATGGGGGGGGGAAGAGAGAGAGAGAGAGAGATGGGAGCTTTGATCTGGGGGCCCGTGTGCAGGCTCAGCATGTAACACACACACACACACACACAGAGAGAGAGGGAGGGGCCTCTCAGCCTCGGTTGCTTCTATATGAGACGGGGAGAGAGAGAGAGAGAGAGATCAGAGCTTTGATCTGGCCTGAGCCTCGGTTGCTTCTGTATGAGCTGGGGAGTATAAAGGTTATCATGATGGTTCAGGTGGCTGTCTAAATTGCCACCACTGCCCAGCTTGTGATCGTGATTGTACGCCTGTGTCATTGTCCGTGTGGCTTTTGGGGGTGGTGTGGCTTTTGAAATGCAGATGGACTCTTTTCATGCCCTTCGAAGAAGCGATCCCCCTGTTGTGCCACCTGCGGCCCTTATGCGCAAGGGATTGTCACCAATGGCAACTTTTCTTGTCATGCACTTCAACGATGCTCGGATTGCAAATCCAGATGTCAGAGATGCCCTCCTGCAGTCAATTTCTGTGCTTCTCCAGTACAAGGTGTGTGCCTCGCACAGGTGTGCAGATGGTTCTGGAGTCGGCTAATTGATGTATGGGCCCTATGGGGCACATTGATTCTCAATGCAACCTCGGCAGAATGGATCAGCTGAAATCTTGCCCTGAAGCAGAATGTCAGGATATCAGAAGAGTTTGTACATGTGGGAAGGACTTAATCTGTGTGGTGGTGTGCTGTGTGGAAGCGGTGCCGTCATCCGCCTCCCAAAATTATTGCCTGAAGAACAAAAAAATTTAAAGCAGGGAACATGAAGTTTTGTTGTGCTGGTTTTGTTGTGCTGAAGCAGAGAGTACGTGTTTGTAAAAATCCGATCTAGGACATAGTTTCTTCTTTTTTACCACATTGCCTACTTTATTACCTTTAATTCTTTTTTGTACTTCTCTAGGACAATGATGAAATAAATGAACAAGCAGTTGCGCGCTGCAGCTATGCGGGGTGGACAACCCCCTTCCTCTTCGCGCTCTCTCTCTTGCTTTTCACCCATCCCTCACTTGCCACCAACAGCTTAAGCCCAGGAAATCCTCCCAGAGACTGGGAAAGAGGGCAGGGGTTCTCTCTCTCCCCGTCCCTCCCTGCCTGCCGTTGAAGCTTGCCTAACCCGTTTCCAGCTTTCTTGTTTGATTGATCGATTGATTGATTTCGAGTCTCCGGTATTTGCATGTTCGTGTGCGCATGTGTTGTCGTTACTTGCATGCCTGGGGTTGCAGTATAAGGGGGGTATAGGGAGTATTGGGGG